ATATTTCCTCCTCCTCCTCGCATGGACGGTATGGATCATGACCATTACAACCACGTCCAATCATTGATATGGACAATGGATAAGCATTAATCATATTAAATCTTTGTAATATTCGTCTAATATACGTTAGTTGGTAGAGAAAAATGCTACCATCTGTTAGATGCATAATCTGAAGACCAATACAAAAAGTTATTTTTCCTAGCATTTTCATCTCAAATTCACGTATAAGTAGGTTTGTAGCTGTAATACATGCAGATATAGTACCCACTAGGTTAAGATCATCAACATATATAGCGATGATCACAAAACTAGTTTTATCTCGTTTGATAAACAAACAAGGGATTAGTAGATCACTTATAAAATTATTTGTAATTAAATAATCTCGAAGACGTTGATACCACATTCGTCTGGATTGTTTTAAATCATAGAAGGCCTTACATAATTTAATACCACAATATTTTTCTGGAGTGGGTTGATTTGGAGTTCTTGTTTCTAAACCAAGTGGAACTTTCATATAAATATTTGCATCAAGAGAACCATATAGATATGCAGTTACTACATCCATCAAATGCATCTCAAGGGTGGCATGAACTGTCATTCCAATAATATATTGAAATGTAATTGAATTCATGGCTGGAGAATATGTGGATTCATAATCAATGCCAAATCGTTGAGTAAATCCTTGAGCAATAAGATGAGCTTTATAGCGGATTATTTGGCCTTGAGCATCTCGCTTGTATATTAATACCATTTTATATCCCACAGGGCGAGATGTAAGAGTGTCTATAATTGGACCAAAGACTTTCCTCTTACGCAAAGAGACATATTCCTCTTCAATAGCAGTTTTCCATTTTGACCAATCTGAGTGATGCATCGCCTCTTCGATGGTTTGAGGTTCAGGATCGTCTTCCTTGCAAGAAAAGGCTTCTATAATCATATATGTAAATGATTCATCTACTGTAATAGATGGTATATCCCAAATATCATCTATAGCACAATACAAAATAGATAATTCTTTACTCAACTTGTTCTTATTCCTTCCAATTCCAAGATTGTTTTTCATAAGAATTGAAGATACATTATGCATGGATATATCATCATGAATTGGTAGTCCTGTAAGATGAGTGGCAATTTCTTGAGAAATAATACCAGGATTAGTTAATTTTATGGCTTTTTTCTTACATGGTTGCTTATCTGGTCCACGAGTTCTTTTAGTTGTTGTTGTTATAACTTGAGGTATTGTAGTCAATGGCACTACAATCTGAGCAAGTGCATTCTGAGCCTCATTAATAGAAACTCTTGTAATTCTATGTGCATCATTGAAGCCATCAAGTGTTTTATCCGCAATCCATTTTAAATGTAAAATCTTAGCAACTTCAGTTTCTGCCAAAGATGTCCTAGGATCGGAATTCATTGTAAACGTTTCTAGTACTTCAAATATGAGTACTTTATCTCTTTGTTGATTGGATACTCCTCCTTGAAGAGATGGGAATACAGTTTCTTCAAAACGACAATTTTACAAACATGCACGTAATAATGTACTAGTTGATGGATCAACAATACGAATAATACTTAGTGAATCAAAACCAACATATATGCCTTCTTGTCGATGAGTTCCAATGGTAGACCATTGAGGTTCTAGTACTAGAATCCAACGACGGCAACCAAATACTCGTAAATGAGATACATTTGGAACACGATCCAAAATGAGCTCATGTGGTGAAACAATTTCAAGAAAAGAAGGGCGGAGGCATATTAATGCTACAACATGTAAAACTGCATGATCCCACATAGATGCAGGTAGATTTGCATGAAGGAAGAGTGGTCGGGTAATGAGTTGTATACGCTTTATAAATGACTCTGCAAGTCCATTTTGAGTATGTTCATATGGAATACAATATGTCAACTCGATTCTTGTTGCAGTACAATAGTCTTCAAAAGACTTTGATGCGAATTCTTTTGCATTATCCATACGCAATGTTTTTATAGGATAATCAAAAAAATGTGCCCGAAAGCAAATAAGCATAGATATAAGATTAGCAAACACCATGTTTCGAGTTGATAATAATGAAACATGTGATTGTTTACCTGATGCATCAATAAGGACCAAAAAAAAAAAAATGGTCCTGATATTGGATTAATATGACCACAAATATCACCATACAATCTTTCAAGCATTGGTGGTAATTCTTGTAGAAGTTTCCAAATTGAAGGCCGAGTAATCATTTTACTTTGCACGCATGCACAACATAATTCTATAGAATCTACATGTGCAGGCTTTAAATTATGCCCAATTATACATGGAATGATCTTTCTAAATAATGTGGATCCTAGATGTTCCAATCGTCCATGCTAGAGAGAAACACAACTCTCTGAGATAGATGATATAAAATTAAATATAATAGGAGGCCAAATCACAATTCGGTATAATACATTTTCTGTAGCAAAAGCTTTTTCAACAACTTTATGGTTCTTTGCAAGAACCAAAACCTCTTTTCTATTTAAAGTAGTGGTCGAGAAGTGATAACCATTAATACACACATCTCGGTAGCTGATCGGATTCCGAGGTGCTGAGGGTGCAAACGTCGAATATTTACATTTTATGATGGAATCCGCATGTAATTTTACCATCATTGTGCCCTCTTGGAAACAAAACGCATTTGCTCCAGCCATCGTCATTATATTTTTAGTTTGCCAAGTTGAAGATTTTTCAATAAAAAATCATCTATCTTGCAAGATAGTATGTATTGTTGCGGAATCAATGAGTGCATCATTTGATTCATCATCAGAGGTTCTATCATTCATATAAGCCTCTAAGTCATCAACACCAATTGAATCCATGGATGTATCCATGGTATGAACTTCATGAGCCTCAGCTCATAATTTCTTATTTTCTTGGAACATTTTAATAAAATATTTTGAAGTATGGCACACATGTGCTAAATGTCCAATCATTCCACACTTATGCCAAGAACGCATCTTTGATTTTTGTTTTCTACTATAATTAATAGTAGAACATTTATTCTTTCCATATGGGTAGAAATGGTCTTGACTATGACTACCCTGATACTTATGAGCATGTTTTCCATGTTTATATAATTTCTTCTTAGACTTTGAAATATTAAGTGCATGAGATTCTAGAACTGTAGTTCCAATAGGATGAGCTTCCGCATTGCGTATGAGTAGCTCATTTTGCTTCTCCGCAAGAAGTAGATAGGACATGAGATCAGAATGACTCTGTAATTTCATGTTCATGTATTGTTGTGCAAGCACAGCAAATACATAAGGAAATGTAGAGAGAGTTTTCTCAATCATTTCTTCTTTAAAAATTCTTTGTCTACATAATCGTAATTATGAGACAATACTATACATTTCACTATTAAAAGCATTTAAATTTGGAAAATCTAAGATATGTAAATATGTTCAATTATGACATGCACGTGGAAGAAAAATGGTCTTTTGATGATCAAACCTAGATTTAAGATTCTTCCAAAGTTCTGCAGGATCTTCCATTTTCAAATATTATTGTTATAATGCAAGTACAAGATGACGATGAAGGAGAAGAAGTGCTTTCCAATGAATAGCATGAGGTATAAAAATACTTATTGTAGGAGATTCTTCAAACATAATGGCATCCGAGAGTTATTTTGCAAATAAATTTGCTTTTTCCATTTTTGCCCATAATAAATAATTGTTTCCATCCACAGTCAATGATAGAAATAAAAGAGCTTGAAAATGTTGGGATGCACTGATAATAGTTGGAACCATAGTAGAAGCAGTTGAAGATGTTGAAGCACTCATTATAAATAAATCTGTAAAGAAAATACAAGATCAAGTAGAAAAGTTGAGTAAAACATACATTAAAATATAAAGTCAAATAAAATGATAAACTTAAACTTGAAAAAACAAATATATATATATATATATATATATATATGTATATGAAGAAAATTATAGATTAAGGCAAAAGAACAGCAATAAGATGGTGACAACAAGTAGCGGTAGGATAGCAGGGTAGCAGCGGCAGACAACAGCGGCAGGCGGCAGGCGGCAGGCGGCAGCGGCGTTAGGACAACAAGCAGCAGCGTCAACAACGACAAGGTGGCAGCGGCGGCAGTGGTGGGTTCGATGGTAGTTTGGTGGCTATTTGGATACTATTCGGCAGTAGACGCGGAGCACAACAGGGAGCAAGCTGAGGTGGAATTGGGCTGGATCAAGTATTCTAAGCAAGTAGGGTAGAGAGTGGAACAAGTGCTCTAAGCAAGCAGCTAATGTGTGAGGGCCAGTAAGAAGAACAAGATCATGAGGGAGAAACTGAGCAAAGGTAGCAACATGTTTGAAGAGTCAAAGACTAGAGCAAAAAATTGTAATAGTGTGTAGAAGAGAGTCGTGCTGATAACGTGTTGAGAATGTTTAGAAAGACACAAGAGTAATAGTAAGTCATACACACACACAAGAGTAGTAGTAAGTCATACACACACACAAGAATAGTAGTAAGTCATACACACACACAAGAGTAGTAGTAAGTCATACACACAAGAGGGTTTCTAAGGAGAGAGAGCTTCACACCCAAAAATCTATTGATCTGGTTGTGTCTCGTATACAAGAAGAGAAAAGAGGAGAGGATAAACAATACTTCTCCACTAGACTCTAAATACTGTAGCTATAGTATTTACTATAGTCTACAGTAAATATTATTATGGAGAGTGTTGGCTACATTTAATGATCTCAACATAGAGATCATTTTTTTTCTTTTCATGATGGTTAGGTCAATTTAATAAAATCTTGGTTCTATTTAACATTCCCCTAAACTAATGTATTCACAGATTATCATGAAAGGAAAGACATAAATTTTTGAGGTGGCCATCTTTCAACGTGGCAGTAGCAGTATTGCCCTCCCTCCCTCCTCGTCGTTGTCGTCTTCGCCGGCGTCGTCCTGCTACTCCTCCTGCTGCTGCTCCTCGTGCTGCGGGGGTGGATATGCCCACTGCGTCGCCTGACAACTTGGCTCCTCCCTTCCCCGCGTGTGGCTGCGACGCGGGCCTCCAGTGCTTCTACATCCACAACTGGAATTACACCCCACCTATTTGAAATCCCATTGTACTTACTATTGCTCCATTTAGAACGGCACGCTGGCCGATCCGATCCTCGCCCCGACGCGTCCACAACGTGCCTCTAGTTGGTTGTGGTTGTCATCGTCGTGTGGGGTCCCTCTACCGACTGTCTCTCATTCACAGGCGGGTCTGGTTTCTAAGCCCTGGGCTGTTGCAGAGCGGGTGCACTTGGTGGGGTGTATCGTCCGAGGCGCGGTAGTGATGTGCGATTCATGTGCGTTGCTGTTCCCTCCCCCTCTTTCACCCGTTTGTGATTACGAGCGCATCAGCGAGAACTTGGGGGTGGCTTTTGCGGATGTTCGCCCTCGGGGACTGAGGATTCTAGAGCGGTGTTTCGGTATTCGGGTGTGTTATGGCGTTGAGATGCTGGGTTTTGTGGTTTTGTATGAGGATTAGGTCTTGGTAGGATCGGTGGTGTCGGGGGTCCCCGTTGCGGGGAGATCCTTCTGTGGCACCACTATGTTTGTGATTTTTGCGTGGGTTCTGTTGTGCACTCCTTGTTTGCTATCACGAGGGTACGAGGGAGAAGTGAGATCGGGGTCCTAGTTGGTGCTTGGCTGTGTAGGCATGATGTTCAATTGGGTTCGCTGGTACCTATGTGACGGTTGTAGTTAAACGCAGCAGGAATGGCAGCCTTGTCAGCTTCTTACTAACTGTATGCCTTATCCCCTACGTTTAGACCCTAATCTTGTTCGAACTCGTGGATCACGGTCTCGTTTAGCAGATGCTAAACGAGACCGTGAAGAAATGCTCGATCTAGAAAAGGATGAAGCCAATGTAGATCTTGGATCTGCTACATTTCTGTCGGCAGGACCAGTGAGGTTCTATCTTGCTGCATTCTGTTACACGAAGTTACGGGCCCTGGGGACAGAATTGGAGCAAGGGTGCTAGACATGGTGTATGGTAAACTGGATGTGGCGAAAGTGTGTTGACCTGGGTAGAATCACTTCTGAATGTAGTGCTAGATTTTCGAGTTCGATGTTTCAGGAGAAAAAGTTGAAGGTGACGACTTACACTAGAAGCTCGAGTAGCAAGGAATGGTTCGAATTGAGTTTATTTCCGTAGCTGCATTGTGGAAATGGAGCTGTAACTATATGTTTTCTTTGTTTAATTTGCAGGTGGAAGAGAATTTTAGGAAAATGAAAATGAGAGGAACATGGAGGATGCTATCTGTTTTGGCAATGTTAGCTTTGCTTTCCTTTTTTATGGTTATTCCTGTGGACGCACAAAACACGAGTAAGTCCTATACAACTTTCTATTACAAGTGAATTTGGAGTTTTCTAGCTTAGGACAGCACACGATCCATCATAGAGTAGAGAATTTCAAAAGATCTGCATTATCTTCTCATTATATGATACATTGTAGAAAATTAGCTGGTCAGGTTGCTACATGCTCTTCAGGAGTAAGATGTGTGTACATGTCTTAAGCATTCAGTACTACAGTGCTTTTCATAAATATGAATGCGGTGCCTAGTTGTTAATTCGGTATCAGCACAGTACTAATGTTGGAGCATTATATGTTGGTGTCTACATCATGGCAATCGCTTATCTGAATTCCCGAGTGTTGGCAATCTCGCATCTGATTTTGGTTGTCTTGATTAGGTACTACTCAGGCTCCTAGTTCTGGAGACGTATGTGCGAAATGTGACGCACATGCAACCTGCTATGAAACTCCTACCAGAAGGTTCTGCGATTGCCATTCCTTTTACTCGGGCAATGGCTACTCCTGTAAGTAAAATCATCCTGTGAATGAGAGGTCTTTTAGCTGAATTCGGATAGTTGTGAAATTGGGGGACGACGAATTGCGTAGCCGTATTGATGGTAAAGAGCAGGAAATGCAGACAAGGAAGCACTGGAACAGTTTTGGTTTTAGAGTATATAAAATGGTTGTCAGAGTTGTACTTGATTCTGCGTTGTGAATGTTAATGTTAAGCATGTCAATACGAAGAATTTGGCTTTCCGAATTTTCATCTTCATAATAGTAGAACCCCGTACTTGGTTACGCGCATGAGACCGTTCTGGAAATACATCATGCCTCGCCTAGTCCTTGCCACCTAGTTGTCTTTGTAGTTCAACTCCTTTAGTATGCAGTGTGCAAAGCTAGCATCATCGGGAATCGTTTGTGTCATAGATAGACATACCTACCGACTCGCCCTCCTGGAAATGGTGTTTTCTGCTCGTTTGTGTGGATACACCCATCCAGATCTTAACTTTTAAAAGCCGCTGCCCAAGTAGTCGAGATTTGTGTCAGCTAGCTTCCATATCCTAGTGCTGGAGGTAATGCTCGTCCGTAGTAGATTGGCATGTGTTGCATCTCCCATATTTTACCAGTATAGCCGATGGGCAGTTTCGAAACATGAAGGGGTCTAGAAGCAACTGCGTAATGATTCTTCGTGCTTCTTCTGTGAGCAGGCAAATTCGAAATGTGGCGTTTAGTCCTGTACGTGATTTTTTCAGTACTCGCATTCGTCTGCGTGTTCTACTTGTGTCTGTCATGCCTTGGATATAGCAGACGGTATCAAGAATCTACTGCTTATCCCATGCAACCTATGGGAAATGCCCCGTATGGTTATCCTCCTGGTCCAAATCAATCCACTGCGTATCCGGCTATGTATAGCTATCCTCCATTCAATGGGTACCCTCCGCCAGCTGATTATCCACAAACTGGATATCCTGTGAGTGGATGTCCTCCTCCTCCTGCCCCTCCTGCTCCTCCAGTAGAGCACAGTTCAAAGGTTCCTGGGCCTTCGGGGTCTGAAGGGATGGATAAGGCGCCTGGGGCCTCCACAAGTCACGCTGGACCAGCCCAGTAATTTGATTCCCCCTGGTGCATCAGGAACTCAGCAAGGTAATTCTTTGCCAGGTTGTAGCTTTCGCGATGCAATATTATCATCCATCAGATACTTGGAGTGCTCCTATTTCTCCGAGGGCTTTCAGGTTGTACAACAGTTTAAGTTTTTGCTATCTGACAGATTGCTTTCCACGATCTCGTAACATGGTTTATAGTTGCAGATCGTGTATATGGCAAAGAGTTTTACTGTATGAGTTGATCAAAATTGTATAGATGCTCTTTGCTTCAGTTTTGGACTCAGCGATTCCGAAGTACTTCTTCATTTGTTGTGGGAATTGCATTGTTTTAATTGGTTGGTGTTTTTTATGTCTAAGGCAATGGGACAGGAGTGGAATCTGGAAGTCCTGTTCCATGTATATGCAGAGTCTCCTGTAGGGTATGGTTGAGTAATGAATTAGGTCATCAAGAATACCGGGGCCACCAATTTAGCAACTTTTGCTCACTGATACTCCCGAGAAACGGATTCAATTTGATGTTACTGATTATTGCTTCACACATCCTCTCATGGCATTCGACCTCTCAGGAGATTTCGCGTCTCCTTCATGTCTGTAGATTGTGGCTCCATTTTTCAGCAAATGTACAGTGTTATACCTATGCCTCCATTCGGTATAGAGCATAATGTTGTGCATTTGCGGGGATTCATAAATAATGTGAATTTTCAATTTTCAATGTGTTACGCTGAGCTGGAGCCACACAAGCCAAGAGTATGTATTGATGACATGTAAAATAACCGTTCTCAAAAGGTCTTCTTAGTCATTTCAAATATTTGCTTGAGATATTACGTAAATTTTGTGAAAGTGTGATATTTCTAAAGATTTATTTTACCATTCAAAATTGTGCATGAAAACAATTTGTAAGTATTTTGTAAACTTTAAGTTTTAGATAAGCTATGTGTGGTTGTAGTCAACATTTTTTTCAACATTATCACCTATATTTTTATATAGGTTTGAACATATACAATATGTCAATGTAATGAAGAATTAATTATCTCTGCTCTAAAAGCCTTTAAATTAATTTAACAACTATAAACATTTTAATTTTAATTTTAATTAAAGCATCAAAACTAAATTTCTTTTATAAAATAATTTACAAAAGAATTCATCTAAACATACTAGTGCCAAAAGACATGTTTCATATGCACCAAACTTGAGTATTTTGCCATCCCAAAGTGAACATTTTCTCATATTTATGGTTAAGTCTATTTCACACTATATATCATAATAAAGAGGATCTTTCAGAAATATGCAACTTATTAAAATATAAAAATATGTCCATTAAACCAATTTACTTGTTTTGACAGACACTTAAAATTAATTAGTGGTAGATCTTTTAGAATAATAATTTCTATCTCAAAAAGTAGTGTCATTTATACAATTTGTTTCTAACCTATTAGTTTCATCTACATTGCCAAATTCTATTAGACAAATGGAGAAACAAATGGTTGTTCTTCTAGGCACAAATTTCAGTATGATTCATTCAAAATTGATTAACACTAGATAAGAAGAACCACAAGGAGAAGTAACAAATAGGTCATTACAAAAGCCTAAGTAATCATTTTCATGCAAAAAAAGACCTTTGATAGATTAATCAACACCCTTATTTGGCCTTCTAATTTAGCCATATGATGGTCTAATTTCAATCTATCTCTGTAGAAACTGGTATAATGTTCAAAATATAAGTTATCAAACTCAATTTCTTTAGCAATAATCTTTTGTTCCTCAACAAGAAAGTTAAGAGGGGAATGCTAAGCTTGATTTGTATTCATAGAGTTTTTTAAAGAGAAATAGTTGTATATTCTCAATAGATGGTATATATATATATATATATATATATATTTAAATGTTTCTTTAAATGCTTTTCAACTTAATTTTTATTTTATTTTAACAGAAAAAGACCATTGCTATCTAGTTAAAGCTCTTTTACAAAGAATTCTTTAAGCAAATATTTATAACAAAGGAAGCAATTTCATTCTCCTCACAAAAATTTAACAAGACATTTAGGATTTATTTTTCTTCCTCCTTTTTCTAATTTATAATGATGACTAAACTTAAGGTCCAATGACTTATAGTCTTAGATGACTCTAGGTACATAATATTCAATTCTAATGTGAAATGCTTCAATTCTAAGTATAAAAATTCTTTCTTATATAGACATATGGCACATGACATAAGATATGAAATCTACAACATGGAAGCATATTAAAATTATATATTTTTTATTATGCAAGACATCCACATTAAAAATATCTTTCTTAAAGGCAAAGAAAATTTACATCATATATAATTTTTCTTTTTTAAACTAAGTATTCTATTGATTTTATATGATTATTTTATTAATATATTTTTTATAATTTTTTTATATATATTTTTTTTATCTTGTTCTAACTATTGAAAAGCATCACAAATATTAAAAATTTTGTTTGTTTGTTTGTTTTTTTCATCTATTAGAGATGTATATTAAAAGAATAAACATGTCTTTAGAAAAAAAATATTATAGTATAAATTAAACATAATATCTTATAATTTATGTGGACTAAATGATTCATCTAAATTTTTCAAGTTAAAAAGGTTATATCTGTAATATTTCTTTAGAATGTAATATTATTTTTATTCAAGAACATAAGTTATGTAGCATAAAAGTTCAAGACTTCGAGAATATTTTATGGCCAAATGTTGGTTTTTTAAATTTTTTGAGCAACTTTTGGATATGTAAATAACTCTAATAAAGTGTGAAAAAGAAAAAAATATATCCTTATTTCTCCTAAGTTGAAATATCTAGTTGCTTGTATGGGTTCTTTACTTGATAATAAAATCTTGTGGATTTTATTTAAAGATATTCTAAAAAACTTGTAAGACCTAGTCAATGTTTATACTTCTAATAAGTACAAATATTGGGGCATAACATAGCACAACCTATTGACAGTGTCTCCAAATAATTTTTGTAGATAAAAGGAGGCGATTCAAACATTATAAAATGTGTTAAAGATAAATGTCTCTAATGTACAAGAATTTTAGTTTGTAATGAAGAAATTACCTAGAATTCTTTAAAAACACATCTTTTACTTTATAATTTTTTAAACTCTAGAATTGGAATGTTTTTTTTTTTTAAAAAAAAAATAAAATAAAATAACCATGTATGTAATATAAGAATTTTTATTAGGCTTGATAGATTTTGTGTAAGTTCTAACTTTCTCATATGTAAAAACACTAATTGATATAGATTCAAGAGCATCACTACTATATCCAATTACCTTCCAATAAAATTCTCTATTCTCTTACAAATTTCAATACTTACATATTTTTACTATAAAATAAATATATTTTTTTCCTAATGACCTGGATTTTTACAAAAAGTCCAAGGTATATAGGCACCAACCAGATATGGAGTATCTTTTATTAGTGGAATTAAATTATTCACTCAATTTTACAAATCTTTTTTAAATTAAGACATATAATAGAATTTTAAAGCACAATTGAAGAGGCACATAGAAACACACACATACACACACACACACACACACACACACACACATGTATATATATATATATATATATATACTGATTCCTAAATTAGAGCTACAAAATTTAGCTTAAAGTTGGCCTAAGACAAATTACAAGTCTACAAAGAATAAAAAATAGATGAATATAAATTCATTCTTGCATAAAATAGATGAATTTTGGAGATATTAATTTAAAGGATTTTTTTATCGTTTAAAAACTTCAAGACTTCAAAAATTCAAGACCATCTTAGAATTAAAAAATGAAAGCTTGAAGAGCTAAATTCACTATGCCATGATTTTTATGCCTCTCTATATTAAAAGATCACTCTACTAAAACTAATTTAATTGCCACCACTTCTACAATATTAGATAATATTAGAAGATAGATTCATAAATAAATGAATGAATTACACATGTATATATGTATATGTGTGTGTATATATATATATGGAATTAAAAAAAAAAAAAAAAAAAAAAAAAAAAAACCCTTCATACATACTTCATTTTAGATAATATATTGGTTATCAAAAAAAACTATTTATCAAACCAAGGCATCAAAATAACCATTATTACTACTAAAACTGAATTTCTCCAAAGTTTTAATACAATATCTAGGGGCTTTTATTTTAAGCCATTTAAAAATTAGGATTCAATTATAAATTCTATAGATTGATTCAAATTACTTTTAAAGGTGTCAACACAATCATAGAAATAAAGTGAGTTTCTTATTACATCTTTTCTAATTAAAAAAAGAATAAGACAAATATGTCCTTTTGCTTCTTATTATTTTTTTATATTAGGTGAAATCTTTAATACAAACATCTAAAAAGAGATAAAGGCAAAAATACTAAATGGCTTTAATATATTGTAGATCTTTCATTAAAAAATAATTATTAAATATATGAATGATTTCACATCCATTTTCAAAGGAAAAGTATTTAATATTAAAAACTTAATCAAGATTCTATAAGAATTTAGTCTAACTTTTGAATTCAAATAAATTGGACTAAATTGGTAGCTTATTGATACTTTAAGAAATAAAAATAATTCCAATGGATTAAGAATCTTTAATATACCTTGGCCTTTATTGATAATCTTAGAAAATTCTTAGATAAATCTTTTAGATTATCTCTATATAAATAAGGTGTATATAATTTCTTAATCAATTGTATTAAATAAAAATTAAACTATTAATACTCTACTAAGTTCATGATAGTAAGAAGAGTCATTATACTTAATAATATTTTCTTATCCTACTTAGACTATTTCTTTCTTATATAGAAAAATATTATAAAAGCCATTCTCAAAATCAAATCCATAGTTAATAATTTCTTATAGAGAAACATACAAAGATCAAGTAGATTCCAAAGTAGTTTAGAGGGCTTGATATAAACCTAAAGAATTGGAGGATCAAGACTAATCAATTACAAAGGTGCAACTAAAGTTCTTCTTGCTTAGTGGGTCATAAATGGACTACAACCAAAAAAATACATTATTTACTATATTTTTACAATTTAGGTTGATGTACAAAAAATAGCTTGTCTTTAAAATATGGTTGCTTGAGTTTAATTAGGCATTGATAATTAATCATAAATGGAGTATAAGATCCAAATATTAGAGTATTAATAGGAAGATTTTGATAATTATGGTTTTTTTATTAGATTATATAATCTAAAATTTATTTATGATATTTGGAATAGATTTCTTTGGTGAAATTGTGTTTTTTCCTTCAAAAATATACATCTTAATTTTAAAAACACCTCATCACTTCATGGTCACAACCTTCAATAAATAAATAAAATATACATAAGAAGACAAAGAAATTGTTGTCTTTTGATAAGGTTAAGCAAAGTATAAAAATAAATAAAAAGATACTTCTTCTTAGATCACAATTTTATCTATTATTCTAAGAACTTGATATCATTTGATTTAGATAGATATTTCTACCCTAAAATTTAATGATTAGATACGACTTTACAAACTTAAAATTAATAGTCTTTCAATAATAGTTTTTTAATTTTTTAAATAATATAAAGATATAATAGAAAATATATGGCTTATATTATAAAAACCTATGAAGATTAAATTATATTGCAATAGCATACAATAAAAAAAAATACATTATGATGAAGACTTATCAATCAAATACCAATATCTCCATCTAGTAAGTCAAAATATTTAGTTGAAGGTTTTCTAAAATTTATATATCTAGCTCCAAAAACCATGCCTAGATTCTATAAGCATGAAATATTAAATTAAGTTATGGATTGCTAAACTAGTTGGCTTTTGACCTTAATTTATATATACATATATATATATATATATATATATATATATCTTAGAATAGGAATCTATTAATATATATTTTTAAAATTGGAACTCAATCTTAATAGAAGATGTCTCTTTTAATTGGCAAGACATATGGTTGTGTCCTTATACATGAAAAGAAGCCATGCTCATTTGGCTCATTTGGTGTAAAGTTATTGTTGTAAATAGATGGCAAAGAAAACCTACTTCTAAAATTGATGTCAATTATTATCTTTGCTTTCTTTAACAACAAGCTATACTACATAGATTTTAGGAGTGCTCTCAAGTAAGACAAATTTTGGATTGGGCTACCTTAATAATGTATAAGTTAACTACTAACTCTACAAAATAAGTTGACTATTTGGTTACTTTTTGAGAGGGCTATATGTGCAATCAAACTAAGCTTAATGCAACAAATCTATCTTCAAATTTGAAATGTAGAAAGACTTCTACACTAAGAAACTCATATAATAAGGCATCCTTGAATATGACAAGTTCTTTGTAAATCCACATACAAGAGGATTGAAACACATCTCAAAGACAAATTAATCTCTCTAAAAAGGTGGGATAAACTATGAATGTTAAGAAACATGGTTGGGTTTAGATTCAATACAATAATTCATTGGAACTCTAGAGTATCACAATCTAACATAATTATGAATAATATTCTACAAAACCAACATAGAATAGTGTAGCTTTTAAGAAGTTTTTATACTCTTATACTTTTAAGGTGTTAGGATACAAGGTACATTGTTTTGTACTTAACTCATTATAATCCAAGAATAAAGTATACCCTCTTTTGTGTCTAAAGCTTTATTGTCCAAGCCTGAGGTGGAGCTATCATCCTGTCAACCTTTCTAAAGCCAACTTGCCAAGCCCCAAACATCACATTTTTGTCTGCTGACTAGCCAACCATTGGTGTGAGTCACACAGCCAACCGGTGAGCCAAGTCATACCCCTGCTTGAGGAGAGAGAAGCGTACATTTCTGTGGAGACAAGTCTCAAAAAAGTTGCTGCAGAAGATGTCAGCGTTAGGTCATTGAGAGGCCAAATTCAGCGCAAGAAGCTACTTACGTAAGCGACAACGTCACGTGTGGGATTGGTTTTGGGCTGAAGTCCAAATTGTCCCTGTGCTGAAGTGCATATCTCCACAGGCAAATGCACAACGGTGGGAAATCAGTGAAGTCACCTGGCCATATTTCAGGTGAGTATATCTGCAGGAGTCGAGAATTAGAGTCTTGCACGTCTTAGAAATCACCCAGGTAATCACAAATCTGAAGTGGAGAAAAATGGTTACTTTCATTTCAATTTTCGGGATGAACCCTGGCTTCTGTGGAGAAGGTCCGCAGAAGCAACTATCCACTCCCGATCTGCTACGATCGTCAGAGTGAGAAGCTTAAGGGCTGAGGGGTACACACTACTCTGGAATACTGACTACTTTCCCTACATTATGATACATGCATACTCCAGACTATTGCCCTCGTTCGCTGTCTACAAATCTAATGAGACAGACCAAAGAAATAATTTTACTCTGATGATCTACCCTTACTGTTGAACAGGACAAAATGCTCTTGTGCCTCCACGGCGAAGTCCTCTAATCCGAGACTAAATGTATTGTATGACTACAAATATGTATAAGGTTATGTAACAAGCAAAAGGCGAGGCAAATTGTTAGCCTCCAAAATTCACGATATGTTAATCAAATTAATGATACATCAATGAGGCTGCTTCTTGAACGAGAGGCTGAGTGGCATGCATGTCATTCTGTGTTCTATGAGACTCTTCCTCCCAAGGCTGGAACGTACGTCCTTCTTCCATGTGGCGCACGAATGGAACGAACAATCTCCAATTTTCGCTGTGGAATAAGCTCTCGCACATTCTTAAGAAAGTGAAAGCAGACATCGGTTCATAATGTTCTTGACAGTCGCCTTTCTCGTTCATTTGCAACCTTGATTTGCGGACTATCTGTTCATGCGCCGAACTGTCGAATCTGGGAAGAGCGTTCTCACCAGCCATTGGAATTCCTGTTTTCCGAGTTGCCAATGCCACTTGTCTCACCAATCCTTCTGGGCTGCATAAGGCATGTGCTGGTTGTTCGAAGTCTCGCATTTCAATGCATGTGAAGTTGAGGGTAACGCCGTACTTCGCGAACATCTGGGCAATGGGCAAATATCCATCCCTCGACCTAGTGTTATAGTACCCAGCGGTCAGCTCTGCGGCATGGCTTCTTGTACCGTAGTGCCAATGAATACCTGCGACTTTGCCTGAAATAACAGCACCGGTGCCTCTGAAAATCCCTGTGGCCTCTGACAAAATGCGTTCACCGTGTGCCAAAAGCATTTCAGAATACCACTCCATGAAAAACTGCCCATATTCTGTTGACCATGTACCATCCTTTTTAAAAAATCCTGTTTCTTCGGGCCACTGATTGTAACTGCCAGAATCATGAGGACCACCAGAACCCCATGCGGGCTTTCCCACTGCGTGGGCACTTGCTTTCAAGCTCGCAATCATGTATTTGTCGTAAGACTGAAACTCGCCAATGCCTGGAAAACGCCACCTACCCTCACTCTCCGGATACGAAGGATATCGAAGCTCACCCGCTGGCCCCATTCCGCATTGTATTTCCTAAAACAATTAAAGCAAGTGTCAGTGGCGAAGAAAATGTCAGTAGAAATGCAAAGAGTGGTGCATTTGTAAAACAGGTTTCATATCAATTGCTCTAACAGGACATCTTCACTGTCATGCACAACACCTTCACAGACACTTAAGTGATAGAGATTGGGAAACATACGATGATGACATCTCCGAGGAGATCTTTGAAATTATCCCTAAAGCTCCTCATGAAATCCGCGTAGCATTGAACAGGTGTTCTACCCTGCAAAGCGGGTACGTTGTCTGCTCCCAAGGAAATATACTCAGCATTGCGTCTGCCCACCCTGTCGGTGTAGGCCAAGTCTGGATTCTTCCGCACTTCCTCCAAAACCCAGGGAGGAAGAGGCACGCTGCACACACATATCCTGTTGTAAATTGTCTGTCGAAGGGCAGAGCAACCGAGAATTTTCCGCATTTCGCACAACTCATATTCTTGGTGTGTGGGACCAACAACGACATTTGAACACAGCATTTAGGCAACGTAGTGCCATGCATTGCTACATTACAATGAAGATAATCGCACACGTTGTCGATTTGTTATCACAATACTTACTTGCAACTATCACCAACGTTGCCACCGCACTGGTGGAAGGACATCACTGCTTGCACCTTCAAACCGTGATTCCTCACCATATCAATCAACTCCCGATATGCAGACCAATTGTACTGATGAGGACCATCCTTCTCAACGATCCCCCACCAGACATCCATCATAATCCCCTCCACGCCAGCAGATTTTAAAGCCAACAAAGATGCGTTCATGGCACGGCGCCTGTTCAACGTATTGTTCATGTTCACACTGTCCAAGGGGAGCATCACGAACACGGGCACACCGCCACAAACACCTCTGCTCGTTGGCGTCTCGTGCGTCGAGTGCTCTATCCATTCTTCTGCTGTGTTCTGCCAATCAAGAATCGATCTGTGCTCCGGAAACATAGTCTCCATCTCAGCAAATTGACTAACTCTCAGCTCAGCCATAGAGACGCCAGAAGTGCTTGAATGCTTCCTCCACCATTCATCTGGAAATGGAGACGCAGAACTAGCAGAGAGAGGCCCTGATGTTGATTGAGCAGCATGTCCATCGAAATGCTGCCTCTGAAGGCAAAGAACGACTGACGCTGGTTTCCGCACTCGCGTGCGCATCACTTCTACGCTGTCACTAGGAGAGGATTCGGATTGCGAATTATCAGTGAGCACACTGCGACCTATAAAGCTATTTGTCAAGATGTAATTTCCGCACATAGCGTGGGCCATTTTATCTTTTTTTAAAATGGCTATTTCATTCACAGTTTAGAGTAAACTTTTCCAACAAAATCTTACAAACTCTTTCAACAACAAACTTGTGTTTCACACAAAGTCGACAGTCTCTCTAGACAAGAAATAAGCCCTCGACACTCCAATGTCAAAATCTCCCAACCCGCTCTAACTTCACACCACGAACAATTTCCGTTTTTTTCGGCAAATATTTTCTCAGGGGGGAAAATCTCTCAAGATCGGATCAACAGTTGTTGATCTCCAACACAAACCAAATATGACTTCCACCTATGTTCAAAAAAACAATACTTGCATGCACTACGCTATGTGCACAACCACACACTCAACTCAAGCTCACACCAACCCTACGCATAGCAATCCTGTCCCGCCATCCCCACGCAAAGGCGTACCAAATTTCTCAAAACTGAACCTCCAGCAAACGCCACAAATATTTTCACACAACAACTCCGATCGCACCGCACCCCTTCTCTCCCTCGAAAATCTAATACAGAATGGGAGGAAAGAAAAATCAAGAGAGAGAGCAGCAGAAGAGAAGAAAATAAAAGCTCGAGACAACAATGCTGAACCTCCTGAATAGCTTGGAAAGACGCGGAGCGGATATATATCGAGAGACTAGTGCGAGGAATGCTTAGAAGCAGGCGCAGAAATGATAATAACCACAGGTGAGTTGGTGCTCGTGTCGGGCCCGATGTTTTGCAATTCTCATGGCCACGATCTAACCCCTGGCGCTTTATCCGTCTCCGAGCTCACCGTACAAATCAATTTTTTTGTATTTTTTTGTATTTTTTGTCCTTCAGACCTACCGTCGATCTAATCCACTTACGGCGCCTCCTCATTTACGTCGCTGGTTCGGAGCCGCGCTAGCTGCCAACCACAAGCCCACTTCGCGAAACTAACGACGACCGTAGATATATATATATATATATATATATGAATATATATCGTGTGTCGTATATAAGGATAAATGTTGATCGTAGACTTGTATGGATGAATGTTGATGAATGTTTTCGATGATTGTGTGATTGGATAGACCCGCGCTAGGCGGGGGTGGGTGGATGGGCGGACCCGGCCTGGCCAAGCGAACCAAGGGGGAGCAGTTTTGTTCCCTGGTTCGTAGACGGGCGGGACTTTCCATTCCCCGGCCTGTTATTTTGACACAACTGGGGTGTACCCATCGCATGAATTAAAAGAGAAGACACAACAAAACTGCGAAAGTCCATAATTCCTTTAGAGTTTAGGGCAGAGGCATAAGAGTGCTAAATATGTCACAATGGTTATTTGATTCTATTTTTCTTGCTTCTCAATGTGTTGTGTGGATGATAAGCTTTCTAGGTGAAATTCTAATATTAGAGGATTTTCATTTGTACTTGTTTACCTAGAAGAGCCCTAGCTGGAGTTTTGGAATGGAGTATGAAGTTCTTAGCCATATTTTCATCAATGTATTCTTTGAATGCAACCAATTCTTTTAGTGACAAGCTATAGATTGGTCAAAATGGTAGTTGAGTTTCTTCTTAAATATCAATGGAACAATCATAAAGACAATGTGACAGAAGAATATCTACATTTTTCTTATCAAAAATGTCTTCATAATCTTGATATTGGCTTGGAATGCCATTTGAAATCTTTTCTCCATCAACAATAGATGTGGCACATATAACAAAAGTTAACCTTTTTTTTGCAGCATGTATGAAAGTTCTTGCACCTGCTAATAATTATTTAGATGTATTAGTATTTTATAATAATATGTTCATATAGTAAAAAATAAAAATATAGATGTTATTATAGAAGAGCCTAGTAAAAAGATGTAATAAAAAAATAATGATAAATTATAGAAAGATAGTAAAAAGTTTAGTCTTAATATTGATATTTATAGAAAGGACTTTTATTTACTTTGTAGACACATAAATGAGCCAAATTAAAGTAAATGACATAAGAAATTAATATAAGCATATTTAAAAAAAGACTAAAAATAAGTTTAAATAAAAATTACTTCAAATTACCAAAAATTGATATTTAAAAAAGACTGATTATCAACCTAGGTTGAAATTAGATCTCAAAGCACAAAATTACACACCTGCATTGGTTCTAATATTTTTTTAATAAATCAAAGAAAGGTATTCAAGAGTAGACTTGAAGATAAAATTTTGAGTATTAATTTCATATTATCAAGATTAATATTGAGATTTTGAAGGATTTTTATAGTTAATAATGTATTTGGTGAGTTTGGATTTGGAGAAAAAAAAAAAAAAATACAAATACAAATACGAATATCAAGGTTTTGTGAGATTTATAGCATATTTACAAGTGAAAATTAATAAATTTATTGTTGTACTTGTTATAAATGTGTATGAGAAATTTGAAGTCAATCGAGTAGTTAGATTCAAGAGTATGAGGATTTTTGTGGGTTATGGTCTCAAAAATCAAGATTTATAGAATAAGTGAGGATTTCTAAGATATTTGTTAATCTGCTAGTTGGATTGAAATACAAATTTTTCAAAGATAATTAGCTTAATTATTTATAATTGTCAAAAAAATTAGAATAAATTGAATGGTGAATTTAAGAAATTGTGGCTCAAGAATATCAACATCAAGGTTGAAGAAGGATGTCCGCTAACCTCCAGGTAGAGTTTTGAGATTATCATCTATTTGATATGTACAATCTTCTTCAAATATATTTTATTTATTGCTAATTTAGTTTTTGCAAGATATGCAAATTTTGAGTCAAAATCAACAATTCAATCATTAACTATTGAATTTTTAATCTATTGTAGGATTTGTTAAGATTTTGTTTAAAATTTAGGACTTGATTAAGGATTATTTAGGATTTGTTTAAGATTTGGTTAGGATTTAGGATTTTATTTGAATTTAATTAAGGTCTAATTGAGGTCTGATTAAGTTATAATTTATATTTAATTAAGATTTGATTAAAATTGATTAAAATTTGTTTAAGGTTTTATTAGGATTTTATTAGGATTTTACTAGGATTTCATTAAGATTGGTCTAGGATTAAGGATTTTATTAGGATTTGATCTAAGATTTTATTAAGATTCATTAAAATTAAATTGAGATTTTATTAGGATTTATTTAAGATTTATTTAGGATTCTTTATTATTTCTTTAAAAAAAAAAAAATTAATATTTTTTAAGATTATTATTATTTATTTAAGGATTTATTTTTATATTTTTTAAAGATTTTTATATTATTATTTTTAGATTAATTTATAACTTTTTTATATTTATTTTGTAATTTCTTTTTAATTTATTTTAAATTAGTTGAAATTTAAATAGGATTATTAAAGATTACTTAAAGTTTATTTAACATTCTATTAGACTCAATAGGATTGTTATTGCATTTCTTATGTATCATAAGTGATGAATCTAACGTAAAAACTTAAGATGAGAGATATTGGAGTTTATTTATTTTTTATTTTAATTTAATAGAAAATGATGTCATATTATATGTCTTCTTATTTGAAAATGTACCAAGCACTTGGTTATAAAAATTAAGTCATATGTTGCAATTATCTAAGAGACTCTAACAAGTTTCAACTATTAAAAAAGAAGTAATTTGAATTTCAATGCAAAAGGAATTAAAGTCAATGCAATTGTTAAAAAATATTCTTCTTAATTATTTTAAGCAAATATAAATCTTAATTTTTTTTTTTTTTTTTTTGTAATTTTTAATTTTTTCTCCAAATCCTAATCCTAAGCAATATGCTTCAACAGTAGATGTCATATGCATCTCACAAATCAATCAATAATGCTAGCCTCAATTTTATTGCATAAATTCAAAGTCACCAATACAAATCCTAATATTGCATAACAATTGCAAAGTCATCTCAAAATCTATTAAAAAAAACTATATAATTTTAAAATAGGCTTAAATCCAATTCTTTAATTCAACTCTTTGATCTCCAAAATCTCTCCTATTTTGTTCTAAATAGTTGTTTTAGTGTCTAAGGATCTAATTTCAATTCTAACTCACAAACAATTGTTCTTAAGTATCAATCCAATCTTTTTTAGAGATTTTTTAGCATGATCCTATCCTTAGTTTCATCCTAGAGTTGATGATATTAAATATTTACCTAATCTACTTTATTTTTATCAATTTATGGCTTTTTTTAAGTATTAGAAGAATATTTTATAACATAGAAGATAAATTTATTAACCAACTTTTAATCTGCTAGCTATTAAAATAAGAAAATAAACTAAGAAGCTTTCATAAAAGCCTTCTTTAAATCTCTAGAATTATTATTGAATCAAGTTAATAGAGTAAAAATCATAATATTATTTTTGTTTATATTTTTATCATATAGTTGTATTATTACATGATAATAAGAAAAAGAGTTTTGAAGGAGCTATGGAAAAGGCTTCAAGTGAAGCTTCAAGTAAAGCTTCTAGTGAAGTTTCTACCAAAGGACAAGGTATGTACATGGATCTGACCATTACAAGCACGTTTCAAGATTTTATATTGTCTATGCAATAACAATAAAGCAATGATTGCAAGGAAGCTTTGGCAATCAAAGCATTGTAAGCAATGGTTAATAAAGTTGATCAATTTGATGGAAGAGATATTTCAAAATATTTAAGATATTATATATAAAAAATAGAATTAAATCGAGTTTTTGAAAAAAAAATAATAATAATTGAGCTATTTGGACTTGCCATGGTATTGGAGATAAGAAAACATGTTATATTAATTATGGGTATTATAAGATTTTATAGGAGATATTTTCACATGTATTAAAAGATGAATATGTTTTGGAGGATATTGGTTGTGTTACTAAAAAATTATTTCTAAAATGGATTGAGTAGCCTAACAAGAATTTATAAGCAACAGAGCTATTAAAGGAGTTTGAAAGGGAATATTCACAACTATCAGAAGTGGAGAAGTTAACATCGGAACCAAATAAAGTTGAGTTATTTCTTTAGGCTATTAATGGAAAATTATAAGAAAAATTAGAGATTCTTCTTAAAGACAAAGAAGAAGATGAAAGATTGATAATAAAGTGGAGAAATATTGAAGATGCATTAAATTTTCTTATAAAACAAAAATAATAATAATAATAATAATAATAATATTTTAATAGTACAAGTATCTAAAATTCAAGTACATAAAATATAACCAATAATGCTTATTATTCAATCTCTGGCATCTACATCATAAAAATTAAATCAAATTGATAAGACTTGAAGAAAGACTTCTATAAAAAATTTAAAGGCTATTTTAAAATAAAAGTATATACAAAGATACATTTGGTATCACGATGCTTTTCATACTAGGAAGGGTTGCAATGAATTTAATAATATGATGCAAAAAAGAGTTAGTTTTTAGAAAGATGGAAAAATAACATTAAAGAATATAAGGGACGTCTTTTAAACCAATTTTGGTAAAGAAAGTATGAGAGCTTTGATTCAAGATTATTTAGTAGCACATGGAGTAGCAACACAAGAAAGTACAAGTTATGGTACTAGGCTAGATGATGACTTTGATGAGAGTACTTTGTAAGAGCTTTGCAAAGTTTAGATTATTTTTAATGAATCTAGTTTTGTGAAATAAAAAAAATTTATAATTGAAAGAATTTTGTTGGTTTGGTAGTAGATCTATGAATAATAATTTTTGGATTTGTGATTATAGTTTTTTTTATTGTATGTTATAAATTTGAGCATAATTGAATGGTTAGATTAAAGTTTATTGA